CTTGGTGCTGCCGATGAGTTTGCCCTCCACAGTGAGTTAGAAGGTAGGTCAAGCATGTGTGAAGATTCAAGTTACAGTTGTTTGGTCCCTCGAGGTTTTAGTTCACACCGACCAACGAACTCTTGAAAGTGGACAGCGACCACAAATCCAGACCTCCCCAGCCACGAACTGGTTTCTCGGCATGACTGAGATTCTCCCAGGAAGAAGCCAAACCCTTCTGTAGTGAAAGGCCATCTTGCCACCATTTTTATCACATCGCCCTTCAAAGTGGCCTTAATGTCTTCTTTGGAGAGAGAAGTCACTGTGACCAGAGTTGCCTTTCAGATTTGTGACCAGAGTTGTCCCTGAAAGGTGACAGTGCCTTTCAGATTCAGCTTTCTGAGCTGGCGGGACAGCTGTGGTCGTCACGGAGTAGAAGCAAGCACAGGAATCCTCACCTAGAGCACGGACACAAACATCCTGGTGGTACTCCACATGGCTCACTGCAGTTTTTCCTCCTCACCATCCTTTCCAGATGCCACACTCTTCATTTTGACCGTGACCTCCTGTCACCATCTTTCAGGCATTTAACTTACTGCTTTGTTTTTCTTGCTGCTGTCACTTCCTCACTGGGTGACTTCCACTCCACTGGGTCCAACACTTGTTACAGCTGACAGCTCAGAATAAGAGCAAAACAGGCTTCCCCACTTTTTTAAAAAAAAAGTTTTTTCCAGACTCCCAGTATTAAACCTCTCAAATATGAAAGCCTTTTACTCTTTCAAGTCATCAAAATGAGGACCAACTTCCAAAGTGATGAGAGGTATAGAGAAATAAAAAGCACCCTGGAGTTCATACTGTTTCCTGCTGCGCTCAAGAGACACGAGCTGACCTCTGGGGAAGCCGCACTCAGTTCTGGTGGCTGCTGCTTCACTTACTCTTCGAAAGCTCTGTCAATTGTCCTCATGCCACTGCTGCACCAAGGACCAGCTCTCCAAAGATGGAGCAACGGAAGCAAAAGCTGACTTTGCTCTACTATTCACCACAGTCTCTGCCCAGTAGCAGCTGAGAATACCTTCAGTGTTTACAGATACAGCGCCTTGACACAAGAGTAAGTGAACAGCAAGACATTCTACTCCCACTGTTGGCGCCATCTGTAATGTGGCAAAACTCAGTTAGGTTCTTGGGGAAGTTTGGGGTCTGTTCCTAGTGATAATGCTGGCAGTCCTGGGAGAGTGAAGTAAGGAAAAGGAGAAGGACTTCTAGACCACAAACAAATGGTGTAGAAACTATGAATGGTCTGAGCTATAAATAGGTAGAAGCCAGTAAGTCCTGTTTTAATTGTGCGTGAGACGCTCAGAACAGGTAAATCCATACACAGAAAGTAAATCAGTTGTTACTGGAGGGTAGGTAATGTATTTTGGAGGTTCTTCTAGGATAATTAAAATATTATGGACTTAGATCTTGATGATAGTTACAGAACTTTGAGAACACTAAGAAAACTGAGTTATATACCGAAGTGTGAATTACATGGTCATGTCAATATAATATACATTTAACATAACAACACCGATACAAATCTGAGTGACTGAAATGTACAGTAACATTTGTTTAACACAAAAGAATGGAATAAAGAGTAAGAAGACAGTGATGGCCAATCCTGGTTATCACTGACTAGAACTGGGAAGAACCTTACAGCCGGCCAGGCGCTGAGTGGGAGTTAGTTTCCATTCTGTCATCTGAAGTGGGAAGGCCCATCTTAAAACGGGGGCAGCACCTTATAATGCAACCCACACAAAGAGGTCTTAGAAAATGTGTTAGTTTTTGCTCCTTTCCTCTATTCCTGCTGGCACCTCATTCACCCTACTACTGAAAGCCTTTACTGATACCAGAATCCTGCTTCTTCAGGCTTCCAACATGGACTGACAGTAGCTCCTCAGGAACCCTCGAAG